TGAATTACCATTTAACTGATGGAGCTGAGAAGTTTTACTATCAGTCCCAGAACAATCAGAACTGTGGAAAGAGGGTATTTGGCAGTTTTTTTTGCACTCCACATTCACTATCTCTTCCAGGTCGATGGTAAGGAAGGTTTTTCTTTAAAGCTGATCTGTATAAATCAGATTAGTGTTTTCACTAATTTAGTTTGACTTTTTTGCATAAAATGTTCCATTTTGCTTGAGATGATTGTAGCTGTATTAGTGCATTTGCGACAGAAACAATTGAGTACTGTCCGTGATACTTTTTTTATTTGCACTAACATACAATTTTGAGGACAAGCTTTCGGGGTATGTCCCCTTCTTCAAAGTCCAAGCAGTACTATTAGTACTATTAGTACTTAGTACTGCTTGGACCTTAAAGAAGGGGACATACTCCGAAAGCTTGTCCTCAAAATTGTATGTTAGTGCAAATAAAAAAAGTATCACGGACAGTACTCAATTGTTTTCTTACATAAAATGTGAAACTAAATTAGGTGCCCATTAGCTAACAAAGGTAATAGCTGACATTCGGATTAGGTGGTATCTGATTTTAAATAACATTTAAAGCAATATTAAATCCAAAAGCAAAACATTTGTTATATTGTAGCATACTTTTTTTAGGTTTTCTTCTACTTTCAACTGGTGGTCCAGTCACGAGGTCTGTTGTTTTTCAACAGAAAAGCTCTCTTGCAGTTACAGGGATGAGACATATACATAGTCATGGGTGCTTAAAATGATCAGCCTTTATTTATGTAAAATTGTTATCTCAAAAGGAAAAAAAAAATTTGATGTAAACGATTATAAAGTATTAGCTGGATTTCAGTTTCAATTTGTTACTGTACTTAAATCTGCTAGTTCATCTAACAATGCTGCTGTCCGAATCTGCCCCCTGTGCTCCTTCACTCAGAGTGGTGTCTGTTTAATACAGGAGGTGTGTTACTGACCAGATCACCAGCGGAAAACAGGAAAAAGACCTAAAAAAATTGAATGCAGCCTCCGCATCTAATGCTTGGTAAGCTGCAATATATAAAATTCTTTGTTTTGGGTTTAATACTGCTTTAACTGACAGGTTTATTTTAACTGACAGGTTTATTTTAAAATGTACCTTTGCATTTTCAAAAAAAAAAAAAAAATTAAAAGGTGATCTAACTTCACATATCCTTGCCATCCTTCTGCAATGATCTCTGTGCTGCTATGTAGCGGTACACACACTGCAATACACACAGCCCCCCGGAGTGAGCATCCATCATAATGCTTGCAATTGCAAGTGCTCATTGCTCAGCACAGCCACATGACCCTGCTGACAAATGAGAAGTGTTTTCATCATACAACTTTCACACAAGATTCATACATTTTTCTAACTTATGCGAAAAAAAGCGTGAATTTTTGGTTAAAGATGTATGAATCTTGAGTGAAAACATTGATAAATAGACCCTTAAGTGAGATACCTTAGAGGTCACTAAAGCCTGAACAGTTTGCTACCCTCTCAACTGTCTTGCCTTACAGCTTCAAAGTGTGCATAACAGGATCATATAACAGAACTCAGTCGTGGTTTGCATTTTTCTTAAAACTGATGTTTTTTTTTAAAGCAGAGCAAAACGTATTTATTCCCCCAAACGGTTACATTTAAGGCATGCTGTGAATGATACAGTAACTGTCACAGTTGCTTATGGTCTCAACCCAACTGTCAAACCATCAAACAACAGGTGTCATATCTGATCACATGGCAACTGCAGATCAGAGGCTAAGATGGTAGTTTGCTTGACTGCAAAGGACAGGAGGGTTTAGTTCTGCTTTAACCCTGTTATGCGCTTATACAATGCCTTGAAAAAGTATTCATACCCCTTGATATTTTCCAACTTTTTTCACGTTACAACCAAAAATGTAAATGTGTTTTATTGGGATTTTATGTGATAGACGAACACAAAGTGGCACATAATTGTGAAGTGGATGGAAAATGATAAATGGTTTTCAAAATATTTTACAAATAAATATGTGACAAGTGTGTGCATTTGTATTCAGCCCCCTGGAGTCAATACTTTGTAGAACCACCTTTCGCTGCAATTACAGCTGTAAGTCTTTTTGGGGATGTCTCTACCAGCTTTGCACATCTAGACAGTGAAATTTGTGCCCATTCTTCTTTGCAAAAATAACTCAAGCTCTGTCAGTTTGGATGGAGAGTGTCTGTGAACAGCAATTTTCAAGTCTTGCCACAGATTCTCAGTTGGATTTAAGTAGGTCTGGACTTTGACTGGGCCTTTCTAACACATGAATATACTTTGATCTAAACCATTCCATTGTAGCTCTGGCTGTATGTTTAGGTTCATTGTCTGCTGGAAGGAGAACCTCCCCCCAGTCTTAAGTCTTTTGCAGACTCTAACATGTTTTCTTTTAATATTGCTCTGTATTTGGCTCTATCCATCTTCCCATCAACTTGACCAGCTTCTCTGTCCCTGCTGAAGAAAAACATCCCCACAACATGATGCTGCCACCACCATGTTTTTACACAGTGGGCATGGTGTGTTCAGGCTGATGTGCAGTGTTAGTTTTCCACCACAATAGCATTTTGCTTTTAGGCCAGAAAGTTCAATTTTGGTCTCATCTGACCAGAGCACCTTCTTCCACGTTTGCTGTCCCACCCACATGGCATCTTTGCAAACTGCAAAGGGACTTCTTATAGCTTTTTTTCAGCAATGGCTTTCTTTTGGCACTCTTCCATAAAGGCCAGATATGTGTAGTGCACGACTATAGTTGTCCTTTGGACATATTCTCCCACCTGAGCTGTGATCTTTGCAGCTCCTCCAGAGTTATCATGGGCATCAGGCTGTTTTCTTATTGGGTGCTCTCTTGCCCAGCCTGTCTATTTAGATGGATGGCCATGGTCTTGGTAGGTTTGCAGTTGTTGTCACATTCTCTTTCCATTTTTGGATGATGGATTGAGCAATGCTCCATGAGATGTTCAAAGGCTTGGGATATTATTTTTATAAACCTAACCCTGTTTTTTAAACTTATCCACAACGTTTGCAATGTCTGCTGTGTTTCTTAGCCTTTCATGCTGCTGTTTTGTTCACTAATGTTCTCTAACAAACCTCTGAGGGCTTCACAGAACAGCTGTATTTATACTGAGATTAAATGACACACAGGTGGACTCTATTTACTAATTATGTGACTTCTGAAGGCAATTGGTTCCACTAGATTTTAGTTAGGGATATCAGAATAAAGGTGGCTGAATACAAATGCTTAAAAATTAGTGAAGCGCTTTATCACATGAATACAATCATGTAATCTCCATATAGTGTAATTATAAATCAAAAGTGACCACTAAATATAATAAATGTGTGTTGAACTCCCTCTAGTGAAAAGAAAAAATAGTGTCAACCAAAATAGCTAAATAACACACATTAGGAAACTAAATATTATAGTGCATAAATCAAATATAATGAAACCGAATATATATACGTGAAAACAGAATATTGGCCACATACAAATGGTGTCTAAATTATACATAAATGATATATGCCATAGGTGAACAAGACAATATCAAAGGTGAAAAAAATATTCCATGCATGTGACTGTGCTTTAAGCTGGAACACACACAGTGATCTCCACTTCTAAGTGCAAGTACTCTCTCCTTCAAATGGCAGCAATGCCTGCTCACCTCCCTTCCTCGACCCACACAGGGCCTCAAAGCAGTGTGTGTATTCCTCTGGCAGACTCCTTATTCCTCCTCCTCTCTTATGCAACTCATAAAAAGACAAGAAAGCCTTCCATAGTGTAGTAAATTTAATAGGCAAAGTTAAAAAATTACAAAGTTTTCCACTCACATGCTCCTTTCCATAAAAAAGCGTTTTTTCCCAGCCTGTGGGTAGATATGCATGCACCTGGGGGAATCCTGATGAAGTCACGACGCACGTGACGCTACGCGTCGGTTTGTCTACTTCCTGGTGATGTATGTCCGGACACAGTGGCCATATTGGATTCCCCCAGGTGCATGCATATCTACCCACAGGCTGGGAAAAACGCTTTTTTATGGAAAGGAGCATGTGAGTGGAAAACTTTGTAATTTTTAACTTTGCCTATTAAATATTTACTACACTATGGAAGGCTTTCTTGTCTTTTTATGAGTTGCATAAGAGAGGAGGAGGAATAAGGAGTCTGCCAGAGGAATACACCACTGAGGTGGTAACTGCTTTGAGGCCCTGTGTGGGTCGAGGAAGGGAGGTGAGCAGGCATTGCTGCCATTTGAAGGAGAGTACTTGCACTTAGAAGTGGAGATCACGTGTGTGTTCCAGCTTAAAGCACAGTCACATGCATGGAATATTTTTTTCACCTTTGATATTGTCTTGTTCACCTATGGCATATATCATTTATGTATAATTTAGACACCATTGTATGTGGCCAATATTCTGTTTTCACGTATATATATTCTGTTCATTATATTTGATTTATGCACTATATATTTAGTTTCCTAATGTGTGTTATTTAGCTATTTTGGTTGACACTATTTTTTCTTTTCACTAGAGGGAGTCAACACACATTTATTATATATAGTGGTCACTTTGATTTATAATTACACTATATGGAGATACATGATTGTATTCATGTGATACAAGCGCTTCACTAATTTTTAATTTTATTTTGCACTTATTGGTATCAGCTAAGTGACAGCAGCTGTATTTTGTCAATTATTCCCCTGAGCGCAGGAGGATCCCTTATTATTTTGAATACAAATGCATGCCACACTTTTCAGATATTTATTTGTAAAACAATTTGAAAACCATTTATCATTTTCCTTCCACTTCACAATTATGTTCTACTTTGCGTTAGTCTATTACAAAAAATCCCAATAAAATACAGTTACGTTTTGGATTGTAACATGGCAAAACGTGGAAAATTTCAAGGGGTATGAAGTGATTGAATACTTTTTCACGGCACTGTAGGTGAAGATCTTATTTAAGCCAGGACACAAGCCTATGTAGCCTCCCTGGCGGTATTCCCGAGTGTAGCTCGGGGTAAAGTTTCAGTACCAAAAGCAGTAACCCCGAGCTACACTCGGGCTTACCATGTGGCGCTGCTCCAGGATCTGTTCTTCTCTTACCTTGTCCTGCGCTCCCGCGATGTCTCTCCTGCAGTGTCCTCGGCAATGTTCTCCGGCGGATGCCGGCATCTGTCTTCTGGGTTCCATCCCCTGCGACGTCGGGGGGACGGAACTGGCGGGAAATTTGAAAATGACAAAAAGTGACATTCACTAAATTCACTAAAATAACATAGTAAAACATTACTGTATCAAACCATTTCACATAAATTCTATCCCTAGTGCTTTGTCCTGTGCCCTGCCTGCATTTTTACTGTTCTTTCTGCCTGGAAACGTCCATGGCGTCCAAAAAGCATCCCTTTAGGTCAAAATCGGTTTTAGACCAGCTAGAGAACAGCGATAATAAATTAGAACCACTTGCAGAATTGAGTGATAATTATTCATGGGGAAATTCGTCATCAGACACTGAAAACGATTTTGCGACTTTGCTCAGTGATGTGCGAACTTGGCGCTATATTTCAAATTTCAGTGTTTTTGATTTGATTATATTATTGAATTAAATTTATTATTATATTATTATTTTTTATGATTATTTATTAAATTATAATTTATGATTTCGTGTTTCAAATTTTATCATACCCAGGATGTTTACTAGACTCTTGTTCAGACAGATTTCAGTGAGTTATTCCTAAAAATTACAGGCCTACAATAAAAAAAATACATATTTCCATGCAAAAAAATGTACCGCTTTGAGCACAGAAATATGGACATAATCAGACTTCTAGGGAGGTTAATGGAAAGCTAACTTGTATAGCATTGTTATGTGTTTTATATACTGCTTGCTTTCTTAAGTATTGTAAATTTTGAAGATCCATACTTGGAATGTTTGTTGCACCGTTCTTCCTTTGACCTGCTTTTATAGTCAGAACCTTTTGTCTCTGTGTTTTGGCATGAAAGATGCTGTGTTTTTATCTCCAATCACAGGATTCTGCAGAGTTTAGGCTGAGATGAGCAGTCCCTGTGTATTTCCTGGCTCCCTAGAGAGAGATTATTTGCTCTAGCATGGTCCAAACTGTCATCTGTTCATGGTAGAAAGAGCTGTACTTGTTCTCTCATCCCTATTACCTTTTGGAAGTGATCCCACTGTCACAGTGACTGAGAGTTATTAAGCAACCCTGGAGAAGCCTCTTTTTGTTTGATAACGGAATTATTTTCCTATTCTGCCAGAGCCTTACATTTGAGAAATTTTGCACATCATTTGTCGACTGCCAAAGTACCTCAGATAATATTATTATTGTTTATTTGTGCCTATTCTGAACTGTGATTGTAGTTTTCTACTTTGCTAGTTGAAGGCATTTTCACCATAATTTAAGAAATATTGGGAGTTCTGGTGGTATACCTGTTACACTCCACTACCTTGAGCTCCAGGAGAGATTTTTAATTAACCACTTGCCCTCCGGAAGGTTTTAACCCCTTCATGAACAGGCCATTGCGTTACTTTAACTGACAATTGCACAGTCATGCAGCTCTGTACCCAAATTAAATTTATATAATTTTTTTTTCACACAGATAGAGTTTTCTTTTGGTTGTATTTGATCACCACTGGGTTTTTACATTTTTTATTATATAAACGAAACATGAAAAACAAAAAAAAAAACAATATTTTTACTTTCTTTGTTAAAACATATCCAATAAAAAATTTAAAAAAATCTAATGTCTTCATACATTTAGGTCAAAATGTATTCTGTTACATGTTTTTTGGTAAAATAAAATCGAAATAAGCGTATATTAGTTGATGTGTGTAAAAGTTATAGTGTCTACAAACTATGATATATATATACTGTAGTTTTTATTTTTTTATACTAGTAATGGCGTTGATCAGTGACTTAGAGCAGGACTGTGATAATACAGTGGGCAGTCTGACACTAACTGACACTTTGTGGGAACTGCCTAACTGCTACTGACCTCTCCAGTGACACTAATACAGTGATCAGTGCTAATAATATACACTGACGCTCTACTAATGAGACTGGCTAGGAATAGATTAACATAGGGGGGCCCCATCATAGGGTTAACAGTGTGTCTAAGGGCGTGTTCACACTTGATAACATTTCTATTCCAGTGATCAGTGCTAATAATATACACTGACACTCTACTAATGAGAATGGCTAGGATTGGATTAACATAGGGGGGCCCATCATAGGGTTAACAGTGTGCCTAAGGCTCTTACCAAAAGCTCCTATAGGGTTTTTTATAAGCCTTTTACGAGCGTGAAAACCACACATCAAACGCCTGCAATAAACTATCAATGCGTTACAACCCCACAGTGAATGCCCTGGCATAAACTTGAAGGGGGGCGTTGAAAGGCTTCATTGAAACCCCTTAAGGGGCCGGGAGGCAGCGGTGTTGAGAGGTTAAATAGGAATTTCACTCTTGTCATAAAAAATACAACAAAGGCACTTTTAGGAATATTTGGTAATGGAAATCTACAAACAGATTGTAATGATAATGAGGACTGTGCACCCAAAACTGCGTGAGAAGACACAGGATAGCCTTGTTGTTTTAAAACTTGCAAGTCAGCAATTACATTTTTTAGAATAGGAACCAGCTTACATCCACATACCCAGCCATTGACCAACTCTCAAAACATAACCCCAGGAATACATTTCCATAGCTATTTAAATCGAGTAAACATTTCTCCAAGGTCTAGAAACTTCAGAAGAACTATTTCAACTTGGGAATTGCCATTCAAGTGTTACTAAACCCAGGACCCTGCATTCGCTATTTCTGGTTTCCCATGGTACACAGAACATGGAAATGCAATTCTTTTAGTAAATATAAACCGCTAAATCCCTTTTTTCATCAGCAGTTAAAGCAGTCTTGTGACTTCTATCATTGTCCAGCAGAGCACTGGTTAAAGCTTGTAGGAGGAGTTTTCCTTCTCCTCTGATTGTCCTGTGAAGCTGCAGGACCCCTGACCCTCTGTCTGGACAGTGCTGATTGGCTCTGTGCTGATTGCATGCACTCTCCCAAGAAAAAAAAATATTTATTAACACACAGCAGCTGAGCCTGTGCAGCCTGCCTTCAAGGCTCTGTTCTATCAGGAGATGGATTGGGGACAGTAGAAGAAGGGGAGGATCAGAGAAGACAGGGTCAACATCCTTTTTACACAATGCAGAGGATTAACCTTAGGTTCCACAGTGAGTATAACAAGCATGTTTTGCTGCATATACAGACTGATTTTACTGTTGTGGGTTTAGTAACACTTTAACCATTCTCCTATAGCATTTAACAGACCAGCAATGAACAGGGATCTGCTAATAAGGCCTATCACTGTCTGTTTAGGCCTGAGTTATGAAACCTATTAGGACATGTTGTAATAGCTTTGCAGACATTAGGAAATTTACATCTTTGAGTTTTTCTTCTCACATGGAGAGGCTTTCCTTTATATTGTAAATGTTTTAGCAAGCAGTGGAATGCAAAACAACATGTCTTGGCTGAGCTAAAATCTATACATCATTCTGATACTGATTATTCTACTAAATGCAGAAGAACACTATAATTGTTTTAAGACTAAACATCCCTATGTTACAGAGGGGATCGAGCTTTACTTCTTCTTAGGAAGGTGCATTTCAAGAGTGGGTCTTGTTGAAAAGATACTTTTCTGCTGAATGATAAAATATGTGTTAAGCTGGGTGCACACTATCAGAAAATCAGAAGAAAAATTCCATACGAGGAACACTTTTTGTATAGTGTGTACACAGCTTTTGACATCCAATTCAGACTTTCTGAACAAAAATTTTCAAAGGAGCAAACTCGTAAATGTTTTTCGTACGTGTACAAAGCTAATTATTTTCATTTAATGTGTACTGTTTCTGTACAAGAAAAATTGGATACAAAAGACTGCACATGATCAGAAACAATAAACAACAATAATCTACGTTACAATGTTTTTATGTCAAGCAAAAAAAAAGCCTTTGTTGTTCGAGAATTTTTGTATATTAGTACAATCCTCTGGTTCGACTTGATGTGAAACATTGAGGAAATCCGGACGATCGTTTGCAAGATTTTCTTATATTGTGTACCCAGCTTTATTAGAACATGGCATGTGGTACACTGAAGATATTAATGTATTTAGAAAACTGTCTCAGAGAGAGTGGCAACTGTACGATCAGGTCAGGTCATTTCTGAGAGCTAAGACCATTTTATACCCATTGACTGAACTTTGCTGGAACCTAAAGAACCCAGGCTTACCCTATGTGTCCATGCACACTATTTTAGGCTAGTTGCTCTTTCAAGTTTCAGCATTTAGGAGCAAAAAAGAAAATTGTTTTTGCAGAGTTTTGGTAGTATTTTTCTCTCAGAAAAAAAAAATGCTGAACTCTCTAAAATGGTGCTAACAGCTTTTTTCCTAGCTTTTTTTTCTACATGTACTGTAAAAACACTAATAAAATGCTAATGCTCCTAAATGCTTCTAAACTTTGCTAAAACGCTACTACAAGCCGACACAAAAATGCTATTAGTGTTTTTCATCCAGCATTTTTTTCTAGTGTTTTTGAGCTTATAAATCTTATGATCTCTTCCTGGAATTTTAGGAAGGATCCACTTCGTCCAGTTGCTTTGTAAATCACAAAAGCATTATATAGAGCCAATTGAAATAAATAAACAGACACTTTTTTTGCACCAGCATCTGGCTTTTCGGTAAACTAAGTACGGCTTCATCATCTGGTCGTTGAAGTCCACCCATCCCATGTTAAGGTTATAGTCATGGACACAGAGGGGCTTCTCAAAAACACCAGCTGCTGTGGCAATTTAGATGGTCGTGTCTGTGTGAATGGGAGACAGGACAAAACATTCCATTTGTTCTTCCACTTCACTGCAAGCAATTGCTCATTTCTCAAGTAGGTTTTTCCCCCCTTTCTAAGATGAGTATTTACAAGCTGTTGGGGGAAGCCCTGGTGATTAGGTCGCACAGTGCCACATGCGCCAATTCTAAGATTGTACAAATATCTAAATAGTGGCACGCTTGAATAAAAATTGTCCACATATAAATGACACCAAGTCCCAAACTATCTTGCCACTGCTCCCTGTGTAGTCTGGGCATCCAGGGGGCTCCACGTGATCTTTTCCATCATAAATCCGAAACTTATATGTATAGCCTGTTGCCCTCTCACAGGTTTTATACATTTTTGTATTTCAATGGTTTTTATTAATTTTAAACAGTATAAAACAGAGGCAACAAAACACACCCACGCAGGGGCTATCAATTGC